AAGAGGCGCATTGTCTCCTCCGCGCCCCTTTGTGTGCCGAGCGGGGAGCCGCACACGTGAGGTTTCAGGAGGTGTGGGACCTCGGACAGGTACAAAGCCATAGACTCCACCCTCCAAACCAACTATTCCCTTCTCGGGAACCATCGTTGCCAATCTCCAGGTGAGGGCTGGAGATCACTCAAAATTACAACTGTTCTCTAGGTAGCAGAGATCAGTTCCTCTGGAGAAAATGGTGGACTCAGTGTCATTATACCCTGCTGAGGTCGCCACAGCAAATTGACACTGAGTGTCCAAGGCCGGAGCACCCACCCAGAGCCACTTTCTAGAGGCCGTTGTATTTATTTCCACAACAGGCCTTTTCCCTAGTTTATTATATTACGGTCCAGTTAAAAAACAAACATTATTCAGATATTCAAATATACAGATTAAGAACTCCAATTAAAATACAGGAATAGCAGATTTTTCAATAAGTAAATAGGAGAAAAATAGATTATAAAATACATAAAATAGCATCATAAGTGACCATTTTAAAGATTTAAACCAATAGATTTAGGAGGAACAAGGGCTGTATAATAGATCTCCTAAAGGAAACTAAGTCAAGGCTCAAAGGGGCAAGACTGAAATTAACTGCGTTCTTTAATTGCCTGAGTGCAAAATCTAGCAATTAGCTTCGTGATAACTGAAATTTCACCTGTTGAAACTGTTCAGTAACAAAGCCTTAATTGGTGTGGGATGTCAAGCACACATTTTGAATAACTGTGTAGAGCCAGTTTGGTGTAGTGGTTAAGAGTGTGGACTCTGATCTGGGAGAACCGGGTTTGGTTCCCCACTCCTCCACGTGCAGCTGCTGGTGTGACCATGGGTCAGTCATAAATTCTTTCAGAGCTGTTCTGTCAAGGGCAGTTCTTGAAGGAGCTCTCTCAGCCCCACCTGCCTCACAGGGTCTCTGTTGTGGAGAGGGGTAGAGAAAGGGATTGTAAACTGCCCTGATACTCCTTCAGGTAGTGAAGGGCAGGGTATAAATCCAGTTTCCTCTCTTCTTCTGTTTACCAAGCAGCAGACATTTGGAGGCCAATGTTGAGAGCATCACTTTCAAGAAATACCAGCATTTTCATCTCTATACAGTTTGAACAGAGCAGTTAAAAGAACACTGTGAATTTGTAGACATTGTACAAAAGCTGCTGTCTCATAGCAAGAGAAGGTGGCTGTCATTATTTCCAGGCATTACTAGGCTCATTCATGTGTTCCCAGTTCTCAAGGTATTTTTTCTCTCACAGAATAAACCACCAACAGTAATCAATAAGTTCTTTGAAGACAAGTTCAGTGAAATTTATCTGTGGCACATTCTCGTAATTAGCATGTTTCATTCATGTATTGAAGAACTGGAAAAGGAAAATAATTAAGTTGTAGAAATTCTTAAAGTCTTGCTATCTGTTCACACCATGCTCACTGAATGAAGGAGCAGCTTTATATCCCTCAAAGTTAAGAGCCTGCTAGAAGAAAAGCGTAAGGAATATCTTGATGCAGCGTATGACAAATTCTGTGCAGAAGTAAATGGCTTATATGACAGCTGCATAGAATATCCAGGAAAGGGATGAAGCCTATGAAAGAGCCTATGAAAGAATTTTCATGCTTTATCTCTCTTTATACCCATATCTGTCTCTTGAGTTGCCCTGAGCCCTGCTTGGTGGGGAAAGGAGCGGGATAAAAATTGAATAAATAATAATAATAATATGGATGTCTCTTAGTGAGTCACCCGAGTGGAATAAGATAGAATCTTCCATCAAATATATCTTGGATAGGGGTTTGGCCATAGTTGATGTGAAATGCTTTGACCAATTCCGCAACCTCAAGAAGTTTGCAAATGAATACAAAGGTGATGATGGGTTCATTAATCTTCAGGCACATTAGAAGTGCAGCAAATACTTTGAGAGTTCCAGAAACATTTTTTGTTACTCAGAACTTTTGAAGATTGCACAGTTCTTTTTTGCCATCCCGTCCCATAATGAAATGTGGAACACCTTTTTTCTCTGAGATCTCTCTGATGTCTCTGATGTAGAACACCTTTTTCTCTCTGATGCTCTGTGGAGCAAAGAACGAAGCAACGTGCCTGGAATCACTTTGAGGTATATTGTTAGTCCAGTACAATTATAGGCATATTACTTGCAAAGGATTCCATACCTATCTTTTAAGGAATAAGCAATTGTTGAAAAAGATACAATCTACAGAGAAGTGTGCTTGGGCTAGTCAGCTTAAAGGAGAAAGAACGAAGTACACCTGAAAGAGACTGACCACAAGGTATGTTTTTATTTTTACTGATACAAGAACTTTATATACAATTTCATTTTACAATTAGCTATGTGTTAAATTCAATAATTGTAACCAGATCAATTGCATCATTAAATGTTGCTATTATTTAGCCTAAATGAACCAATTAAAATTATTGTTATTTAAAAACAAGGAAGGTTAGGAATATTCATAGTAAGTAGCATTTATCACACCTTAAATAGTAGGGGTATCAGTTGTTTGAAGTAGTCAGTTGGGAAATGTGTCCTCTCTTTTGCTTTTCAAAATAAGGTAACCCTAACTGGTTAGGGTGAGAGAGAACGACTAGCCTTAGCATGGTTCCATGGCAGAGGGGGGATTTTGACAACATTACTGTTTTGTGTGGCTTTTGGGAGAAGAGATGGCTGTACAGTGGTCTGTTATGTTTTAAGTTGTGCGATTCCAGATTGTGATTTATTTTTCCTGTGACTGTTATTGTGATTTTATATACACACACACACACATATATATACACACACACACACATATATATATACACACATATATACAGAGAGAGAGTGTGTTACTGTATTTTTATGGTAAAAGTGCTTTGAATTTAGGAAAGGCAGCATAGACTTTTATAAATAAAATAAAGGGAAACTATGGGGCTAGAGGAAGATCCGCACCTGTAGCCTTTGCTAAACGGATCAACGTTTCGGGACCGGGTGCCTAAAAGGTTTCCATCACGGAAAGAAAAAGAATTCTTCTATTCAAGCAAACTATTATCAATCATAATAGTCTGAGACCAGCACAGTGCTTCACGTTTGCAACACCTGTAGTATCTCCCATAGACCAGCAGAGGGATCGGATGTGATTGTAAAGAGTGGAGTTGCGCTGATTTTAAACCAGGCTTCAGAATTCCTACGTCGGATCGTAAGGGGCGCGTCAAGCTTGTTTCCACAGGTGCTGCTCACGACTGAAGCGCCACTTTAGCATGCTGGCGGCTACAGTCGCGAATCCAGCGCTGCTCTGCTTTGCATGCAATCAAGAAAGCAACTGAGGTACTGTACCAGTGTTGGAGTTTTCCTACTTTCAGTGAAAGATAGTGGTAAATTATGAGTGATGGGGAGAAATTAGACTAATACAGCAGCAATATTCATATTTCAGATGTCTGAATAGCAGACCATTCAAATGTATCTGTTGCTCCCTTTAAGAACTAAGCGAACAGAAATTCACCAGGAAAAGCTTTTCTTATCACAGCTTTTCCTTGTTGGGGATAACTATATTTGTTGTATGGCCTGCCTGCATAATTCCTAAAGGTGCAGGACAGAGTGCTCCCTGGAGGAGGAAAAAATTGGCAGTAAATTCCAGGTGTCTGGTGTGTACAGATTGCTGATATGTATGCTTTTAAAATATGGCACTCAAGTTCTGATTTGCTTCTGTAAGATAGTGTGTTGGATACCCTATGGTCCTACATCTCAGAAATGTATTTTCTTGTATGAAAAGCTTTGGAGATGTTGTTGTGGGGAAATGTGTGGTAATTGCCTGTCCTGCAAAACTGAAAAGCACCCAAGATGCTGATTCAATAATTTATTCCTAAAAAGTTTGCAGGGGCTTTGCATATCAACTGGTACCAACAGATAATGTAAAGCATCTTTCACAAAACCGTTTTTGCATTCAATGCAGTATTCCTTTATAATCTTGTATAGTTCTTTTTTGTATTCCTGTGTGGGGCTCTGAGTCCAGTTGTTTGTAAAAAGCAGTGTTTGAGAGTCGTCTTTGAGCCTCCTGGGTGTAGTAACACCGGCTCCGCTTTTGTCTGCTTCATTAATTATAATATTTAGATTGTTCTTGAGATTGTCTATGGCCTTACTCCAGTGTGAGCTTTAATTATTATAGTTTCTGCCTCTCCAAGTCAAAGTTCACCTTGTTCAAAAATTGAGGTTAAACTATAATAGTGACCACAGATATTTAGAGAATTTTATTTCCATGTATTAGGGTTGCCAAACCCCCAGTCAGTGTGGGCTTCCCCCCAATTTTGGGGGCTCCACACTTTCCTAGAGAAATGGGCACTACCAACACTTACAGTAACTTATTGATCATATTTCTGTCTTAATTTTATCTCAAGAGTTTAGGACAGTAAAATATGTGTGTGTCCTCCCCCTATTTTATGGGTCCATCTTTGCAAATCTGATCTCAAAGGAGAGGATTTAACCCTTGAGGTTTATTCAGTTACAACATTTATACCCCACTTTTGTTTCCAGTGGGGATCCAAAGTGTCTTACAATACTCTCCCCTTCTCTATTTTATCCTCGCAACAGCCCTGTGAAGTAGGTTAGTCTGAGATGTGTGACTGAGCCGGGAATACCCAGCAAGCTTCCATGGCAGAATGGGAATTTGAACAGGGGTCTCCCAGATGATGGTCTGTCACTCAAAGCACTATACCACGCTGGATCTCAGATTAGTTACAGAAATTCCTCAATAATAGTCAATATTAGAGGCATGGTAGGTACTGAAAACCAGCCATTCTAATGCACTGACTTACAAGGGTCACTTATGATGGGTCACTGATGGTGGCTACCTTTCAGGGGATCACTGAGTAATTAAATTAGATGAGAGTACTAGGCCCTAAAGCAGAGCTGGTTCACCCATGCACAATCGCCAGCTGAAAATCACTCAATGACTTGTAGCTGAATGGGTGAGGAGCATTATATTTGAGTTGACAACAAGTGATATGAAAGCAGTTTCTGTGGATTTGATTTGTGATGGCTGATTTCAGACATTCAAGAACCGATTTTTACAACATCGTGGTTATTTGAGAGCTAGCGTAGTAGTTAGAGTATCAGATTAGGATCTGGAGGATCCTTGTTTGAACCCTCACTCTGCCGGAAGCTTGCTGGGTGACCGTGGACCAATCACACACACTCAGCCTAATTTACCTCACAAGATTTTTTGTGAAGATAAGATGGAGGAGAGGAAAATGGTGTGAGCTGCTTTGAATCCCAGTGGGGGGAAAGGTGGGGTATACATGAAGTAAGTAAATAAATAATGTAACACTGATTTTTACAACTTTTTCCCAGTTAGCACCCACAAACACAGGGGGAAGAATATATTTTACTGGGGCCCAGAGGTCCAGAAGGATCTGGTGGCAGGCCAGGCTGCCATCCCCATTACCATGACAAAAGAAATTGAGGTTAAACTATAATAGTGACCAAAGATATTTGGGGATTTTATTTCCTTGTATTAGGGTTGCCAAACCCCCAGTCATTGTGGGCTTCCCCCCAATTTTGGGGGCTCCAATCTGCCGCAGGCCATCTGGCTGGTAGGGGAAGCCTCATCCCAAACATCCCCCTTCCACATTGACATTGTCAGCATGATGACACCACCCAGAATTGACATCATCACACCAGACATGTCATGCGTCAATGCTCTAGCAGTTTGGCCAAAAACTCTATGGTTGCCATAGAGGTTTTGGCCAAAATGCTAGAGCATCACCGCACAACATGCCCAGCATGATGACATCACTTCTGGGTGATGTCATGGCAGCACGTGCAAGAAGATCCCGGAAAGGATCTGGGAGTCCCCTACTAAAAGAAAAGTAAGACCTAGCAACCCTATCTTGTATCCAGGGGTCATTTTGTAGAAAAAGAGGTGCAGGGGCTCATTAGCATAACTCATTAGCATAACATATTTGCATATGCCACACCCCCTAACATCACCAGAAGCTACCCTACAACAAGCATGAAAATACAGATCAAGTTAGTATTGCTATTTATTTTTGTGATAGTTGCTATACAAAGCCTCCTGGGTTCAGCTTTTTAAAGTTCAATTTCCTTAGAAGGGCAAATTAGCAGTGACCTTTGCTATATATGAGTGGGGTTGGTTTTTGTTTTGTAAAAGGAAGTTACGTTCTTATCACACCAATGTACCTGTATAGTTACATGAAAAATAAATTATTGC